TTATTAATCATACTAACACTGGAGAATAAATACATATATATATAAATATTTTCACCAATATTATTAATCGTACTAACACTGGAGAATGAATATATATAAATATTTTAACCAATATTATTAATTGTACTAACACTGGTGAATAAATATGGGGTATGTTCAAGATTGTTTGAATAATAACACAAAAATGAGTCCTGTGGTATGTTCAAGATTGTTTGAATAATAACACAAAAATGAGTCCTGGGGTATGTTCAAGACTGTCTGAATAATAACACAAAAATGAGTCCTGGGGTATGTTCAAGACTGTCTGAATAATACCACAAAAATAAGTCCTGGGGTATGTTCAAGATTGTTTGAATAATAATACTTACTTTTCCAAGTAACTTTCTGACTTCTGATTCAAAGTCTCTAGAACACACTTCAAGATGAAACTGTTTTCCACAATTGTTTACACAAGCATCAAGTAGCTATGGAAGAATGAACATATATACATTGTTTTCACTTTTTTATATCCAAACAAAACATGATGAAAAACAATAAACTGACTAGTGTTTTATAGCATGACATAAAAAGATTGAAATGTCTCTCTCTTATAGTATTATTTATCATAACATGTGAAAATTATACTAATTTTTCTCTGCTAATATATTTTGCTATGATATAAAAACCACAACTAAAAACATTCACAGAAGAAAAAAAATACATTTTTCATCTTCTTTACTCAACACCATGAGCCTAAAATACTTAGGTGTTTGGATAACTTGTGACATACTGTTATAATTAATTATACATAATATTCTAAGTAGTTATTGATTTATTTGTTAATTCTTTTCTTCACAAAAATGTTAATTTCAATGAAAAAACACATCAGGTCTCTAGAAAATCGTTTCTTCACTAAAACTCACACTTTGGTGAAGAAAATAAGTTAATAAATAAATCATTTTTGTCTCTTATAACAAAAAACATTTTAATTTAACAGAGAAAACATACAGGTTTTTACATTATAACAAATATTAGCACTAGGACTTTTAAAAAAAAAGTTGAGTGTCCAGTACCCATCACTGTGGGATCCTAATGAGAACCCTGCTTTCAGAGAAGTTGTCTGGTAACAGTTTTATAATATTTGTCATGCCTGGGAATGAGTTTTTGAGAACTACCTGGAGGATACTTCTTATCCTAGCTGAAAGGCAACTACTAATAACAGAACATGTAGACACATGTAGTTGTTGTTACACAAGATGAAAAATGTTTTATCAAAACAAAAAAGTCAATAAACCTGAATAGTAGTGTAATTTGTTAGAACAAAATGTTCAATCAACATTATATTAAATCTAGAGCATAAGGATTTCTTTGTTTATTTGGATTTCCTGAAAATCTATATGAGAACTATCTGCACTAGCCATCCCTAACTTTGAAGTGATAGACTAGAGGTAATGCTACTAGTCAACATCTCCCACCACACACTTGGCTCCTTTGGACAGATTGAAAAGTGGGATTTTACCATTACTCTTATTACACACTCATGACCCCAACGTGTGCTGTAACGGGGCACAAACCATGGAGTATCACCTTTATGGTCTGTCACAATAACCAATACGCCATGCTCAGCGAAGTATAAGTCAAATGAGCAATTGGTGCACCATCTAAATACAGAAAATAAAATACAAACTTAACTTTAAGAAGCTTGATTTAATAATCCTTATTATTAAATATCAAAATATCTTCTGTAGTGAATCATGATGAAAAGAAATTTGAGAATTACTGTAAGCAGACTAAACTACTTAATCTAACAAAAGTGAAGATCGTCAAGTCACACCATCCAATGGATCATAAAAGAAAAAAGTTTCAAAATTACTATAATCAAGCCGAAATGCTCAACTAAATAGTATTTACCCTCTCGCTAGTTATATGTCAAGACATGCAAATTAAATAACCTTGTCAGATGGTAGACCAGTTTATCTCACAAGATACAGAAAAGATCTGCTCAATGGCTTATACTGACACTAAACTGGTTCTTTTTACTAGACCAGTTTATCTCATAAAATACAGAAAAGATCTGCTCAATGGCTTATACTGACACTAAACTGGTTCTTTTTACTATACCAGTTTTTCTCATAAAATACAGAAAAGATCTGCTCAATGGCTTATACTGATACTAAACTGGTTCTTTTTACTACTTTCCAAGATGGTTTACATGGGTAAGTTGCATCTGAAAAAAAAAATTACTGTATCACTTTATCCTGACTAATTAATTACCACTTCAATAATAGATACTAGTTAACTAAGCCTGGCCAGTTTGGCATAATTGAATTAGGTCTAATGTGATGATTACTTTCATATCATGGTAAGCTACTTACAAAAATTACTTAACAAATATTAACAGAGTAAATAACATAACTAAATTTAACATACCAGTGTAACTTAAAATATGCAGTGTTATAAAACAAAAAACATATAAACAGAATTTACTGATTCACCAGTTGCATACTCTTGCTGACCAACTCACCAACACTTGGCTTTTATGATTGTGTTTGTGACAACTTTTATAATTTTTCACAATAATATGATTAAACAACAGTAAAAAAATTATAATTTACAACAAGGAACTTAATATGTTAAATTTTTTTTATTTAGATTAAACAATGGACTAACTAGTGAGATACACTAGTGCCTCGATTATCCACTGTTTCTGTTATCTGTGATTTTTTTGCTTTACCCGGATTAGCGTGGATAATCAAGACGTCAGTACATATTAATTTACTTTCACAGCAATGAGTACACGCTAATGATACATGATATCAACTTGACAGTATTGAGTCTAAACACATGCATTGATTGGTTGAATTGAGAAAAAGAAGAAAAACAAAAGGTCACAAAATTAGTAACGTGTTATTTAACCGCAGAGCTTCATTCCTGCCAAAAAACATGAAGAGGTGGTGAATCTGCCATTAAAATCCTGGAAACAAAGTTCGATTTTGGTTTCAAAGAACAAAAATAGTTCTAGACTTCCAAGAGTCCAGAACTCTTCTAGATTTGAGTTCTATTTAGCACAGCCCTACGCACAAATGGGTGAAAATACCATTCACCACAATGACATTTTTAGTCACCATGACAACCTGTCACCCGGGATTTATCAAGGCCTGATGTAATGTATGTGTAGTTCATGTGAATGCTCATTTCACACACATAATTTATGTGTAGTTCGTGTGAATGCTCATTTCACACACATAATTTGTGTAGTTCACATGAATGCTCATTTCACACACACACAATTTATGTGTAGTTCACGTGAATGCTCATTTCACACACACAATTTATGTGTAGTTCACGTGAATGCTCATTTCACACACACAATTTATGTGTAGTTCACGTGAATGCTCATTTCACACACAATTTATGTGTAGTTCATGTGAATGCTCATTTCACACACACAGTGTATGTGTAGTTCACGTGAATGCTCATTTCACACACACAGTGTATGTGTAGTTCACGTGAATGCTCATTTCACACACAGTGTATGTGTAGTTCACGTGAATGCTCATTTCACACACATAATGTATGTGTAGTTCACGTGAATGCTCATTTCACACACACAATTTATGTGTAGTTCACGTGAATGCTCATTTCACACAATGTATGTGTAGTTCACGTGAATGCTCATTTCACACAATGTTTGTGTAATTCATGTGAATGCTCATTTCACACACACAGTGTATGTGTAGTTCATGTGAATACCAACTTATATATATATATATATGTAGTTTGGTGTGATTACTCACTTTACATGCTTGTAATTTGCATATAGTTTGTGAATGCTTACTACACACAAATGTAATTTAAGTGTAGTTGTACAGCATTAGAGTTAGAACTGAGGAACATAACATACATGTAAAACCTCAGTTTCTGAGCAATTTCACAAAGTTTATTCTAAAACTCAGGTTGAAAATTTCCTCTAGTTTTTGAGTTATGATAGATCTATTCAAAATAATTTTATATATCATGAAAATAACTTTTCCTTTAATAACTTCTATTTATTCAATGAAAACTGCATTTAAGAATGTTCAAAAACAATATGTAATAGCAATACCAGTTTAAAAAAGCAATGAGGATAATAAGATTACATACTGAAAATACATTCAGGCTATGTTCAGAACTTTCATCATGATATTATTTTTTTTAGTTTTTGTAACAAAATATCTGCTAAACTTGTTGTGCCTTTTGCGTACGTTCTCAGTTTTCCACTGTAAGAACCAACAGTAATTTCACATCATCACATGATTCCATCGTCCTTGATATCACTATTCCATTGTAGCAATATCTTGGTCAAA